GTCCGTAGGCGCGGCCCCAGCCAACAGAGACGTTGAAATCAAGGAACTAAAATAAACGTCTGGCCGAACTAGAATGTAGCCAAGTAGATAAAAGCATGGCTCCTCCAACAACCCGACCCATAGAACACCACGGCCAACTAGCGAAGGAACCAGTCTTCGTCCAAGAGATTGTAGATGAACTCCCACCAACTAGTTGGCGACATCCGCAGTTCGAGAAGTACGTCAGAGCCTCAGATCCCAACAACCACCTTAAAGGATTCAAAGCCTTGATGATGCTGCATGGCTCATCCAAAGGGTTGATATGCAAGGCCTTTGTCGCCACCCTCCACGGAGTCACTAGGACATAGTATGCCTCCCTTCCTCTACAGTTTATACCCTCTTGGGAACAGGAACAGCTAGAGACCCAATTTTTGGTGCAGTTCACAACCATTCAAAGACATTACAAGACCCCGACTAACCTCATGCAAGTACGGCAAAGAAAGGGGGAAACCCTAAGATAGTACTTGGCGAGATTCAACATCGAGGCCCTCCAAGTTTGAGCTTTGAACCAGTCTATAGCAGTGACAACCATTATGAGCGGCATGCGATCATTCGTGTTTAGCTTTTCTTTACAGAAGAACCCTCCTCCCAACATAACGACGCTCATAAAGCATGCACAAAAGTACATGAACGCTAAGGAAGCCCAAGCACTACAGAGGAGCGAGGAAGAGCAACAAGGCCGGAAAAGGAGAGACCATGATGAGCACAGGCTGGGCTGAGAGAGCAAAAGGCAAGGTCGGCAATCCGATCAAAGACTAAGGACCCTGCCTCCAATGTACAAGAATTTCACTCCTTTGAATGCACCTCAGTCTAAGATACTAATGAAGATCCACAACCGCAGTTTCGTCAAATGGCCCGAGAAAATGAAGTCACAAAATAACAAAAGAAGTCGAGACAAATATTGCAACTTCCATCGAGACCACAGCCACAAGATTAAGAGTTGTCTTGATTTACGCCACCACCTCCAAGACCTCGTCAGGCATGGGTACCTCGTTGGGTTCGTGGACATTGAAGAGCATAAGCCAAAGGAGGCAACACGTTGGCCCGACGCACCTCCAGCCCGAGCTCCCCTAGCAGGAGTCATTGCCGTCATCTTAGGCAAAATGGCCTTTGGGGGGGAGAGCAGCTCGGCCCGCAAGGCATATGCACAACTACACCAGGTCAAAGACAGGGAGCAGAAAAGATGGCGGCAGGATGGTCCAATCACCTTCACCGAAGATGACCTCAGAGGGGTCCAAACCCAGCATGACGATGCCCTCGTGATCCGCTGGAGTAGCTAACTTCGAAGTCCAATGTATCTTAGTGGACACGGGAAGCTCGGCTGATATCCTCTTCGAAGATGCCTTTGAACAACTAGGTATCAATAGAGACCAGATCGCTTTACCCCAATCAACACTCCTCTAGTGGGCTTCTCCAAGGACTCTCTCATGCCCCAGGGGAAGATCACCCTACCTTTGTTGATTTGGGATGACAACATCACTACCACAGCGATGGTCAACTTCATCATCGTCTGAATCCTCTTTCCTTACAACGTCATCCTCGGCTAGCCAACCTTGAATGCTCTGTAGGCTTCAGTTCCCACATATCACTTAGTCATCAAGTTTCCAACCCCATATGGAGTAGGCATGGCCTGCGGAAACCAAAGGACCGTACGATAATGCTACTTGACAGCCTACCAAGGAAGGCCACATGTCGCCGAGATGCTCAGCACAGAGAACATGGACTTAAGGGATGAGTTGCGGGCATAGTGCGTCCAACCCATTGAAGACCTCACCCAAGTGCCGCTCTCTGAAGAAGACCCCGAGAGGACAGTCCAGGTTGGATCCCTACTGGAAGACCATCTTCGGGAGGACATAGTACAACTATTAAAGGACAACGTCGACGTGTTCACCAGGTCAGCGGCAAATATGCCAGGAATTGGCCTCGAGGTCATCGCCCACCGCTTAAACACCGACCCACGCTACCGACCCATCAGGCAGAAGAAAGGGAGCTTCGCCTCAGAGCTGTGGCAGGTGATCAACAAGGAAGTCCAAAAACTGCTTGACGCCAGCTTCATCTGAGAAGTAACCTATCCGGACTGGCTGGCGAACATGGTGATGGTCAAGAAGGCCAATGGAAAGTGGAGGATTTACATTGACTTCACCGACCTAAACAGGGCCTATCATAAGGATAGATTCCCCCTACTGATGATCGACCAATTCATTGACGCAACGACAGAGCATGAACTCCTGAGCTTCATGGACGCACTCTCAAGTTATAATCAGATACAAATGCATCCAAACGACCAAGAGAAAAGAGCATTCATCACTGACCAAGGACTTTAATGCTACAAAGTAATGCCATTCAGCCTGAAGAACACCAACGCTACCTACCAATGGCTGGTGAATCCGATATTCAAGGATGGGAATTGGAATAAGTAGGGATGAGATTTTATTCCCATGGGAGGGGCAGGGAAAATAGGGGAATGCCATTTCAGTAGTAATGGGAACGGGATTCCGATTCCGCCCAACCAAATAGTTTAAATTGGAATAGCCTATTTTGATTCTAGATCCCTATTCCCTTGAACCAAACAAGGCAAGAGTGCAAGTTGAAAGCCTAATTTAAAGATTTTATATTGCATTGGGCCTTGATTTTTAGGAAGGGCAATTTGAATTTTAACAAATTCCCAACCCAAGTCTACCAAAATTGTACCCTAGGGTCCCATTTGTTTTCTAGATTTTAAAGGAGGGGAAAGTTGATTAATGGAATTTTGGTTTTTATTCACTAAGATACCCATATTCATTTTTCAGATTCATGTAAAGCCCATGATAAAATTATGTTTTCCTGATAAGTGATATTCATCTCTAAGTTGATAAATAAAATTTTCCATTTATGAGAAAATTATCAACACATAATGCAACGAAGTTGTCTATTTTAATAATTGACTTTTTATGACAAATTATCAGTCTTATTATATAAGAAATAAAAGAACACAAATAAATGCAATTATCTGGATATGTATTTCCTAGATAAATTCATTTATGATGATAAATTACCAAATTAAAAACGAACAAGTCTAAGGTAGTGTTTGAGAACACTTAAAAGAAGTACTTATTTTAAGACATGGGACCACACATTAAGCGGTTTTTAAGTACTTATGGGTGTTCGGTAAAAAAGTGGGGAAGTATTTTTTTTAAAGTACTTCTTTAAAAATGTGACTTCAAGTTGGCTTTTTTTTTTTTAAAGTACTTGAAGAAGTACTCCAAAAAAATGGGATGAACCAGTCCTTGATAATTTTTTATAATACCTAAAATACCCCCACACTCATTCTCTCATTTTTCTCTCCCTCTCTTCTCAAAAAAAATGGGACGAACCGGTCCTTGATAATTTTTTATAATGCCTAAAATACCCCACGCTCATTCTCTCATTTTTCTCTCCCTCTCTCTCCTTGTCTCTATCTCTCCGCCAACTCGAGAACATAATACACGACTGTGCACCTCCTTCCACCTCTTAACACTCAACACACAAGGGCGACGATTGTTTTGTCGGGTAATTTGGGGAACTCGTTGGTTTTCGTGATTGTTTATTGGAGAGATCAGAACAGAGGTCAGCATCGCAATGTAAGTCGTCCGGATTTACATAAATGATATCTTGATCGATTGTTTGATGCTACAAACAGAAAATCTAGGTGAATTTGGTGTGTTCCGCTGATATGGATCAGGGAGTAGAGTGCGCAAGGGCGAAATGGTCGAGTCTGATTCCTCCTTCCATGCGTGAATGGATTGGCGACAACTTCTGCAACTTGTTCGATTCAAGGTTTGTGGAACAAAGGAAGTCTTGGTCTGCTATTGGAATAATAGGAGTGGAAAATACCACTGAGAAATGGACAGGAGAAGGGAAATTACACTGAAGATGATGAACCTATCGCCAGATTAGTAAGTTTTCAAGGGAATAACAGGAGTGGAAAATAATAATAATAGTATTATTATTATTATTATTATTAATTGGGTCCACATGGCGATTCATGTGTGAGTCTACGTGGGCTCTCAATTGTCATGAGGTGGTGTCTACATGGACTCAAAGTATGTCAAGTGAGGGTTAAAATTGTCATTTGTGTCAATATAAACACTTATGGGGAAAGTAGCTTACCAAACATCCCCACCTCAATAAGTGATTAAAAACATATATAATAAATGAAGTGAAAAGTAGGTTACCAAACAACCTTAAGTGGTTATTAAAATAAGTACTTCTTTTAACAAGTACTTAATCATCAAACAGGGCCTAACACCCTTGACACAAATCACATCACCTGAACCAACACAATCAGTTCGGTTCAATCGGTTAAACCCTACCCACTGATAGACTTGTTCATGGGTCGGGCCGGGCCGGGCCGGGCTCGGGCCGGGCTCGGGCCAAGCTTTCACTTGTCATTAAGGGAAATATGCTAGGCCCGAGCCCGAGCCCGGCCTGACCAACAGGCCTATAACTTGGGTCCGAGCCCGACCCTGATAAAAAGCCTGAAGCCCGATCTAATAAAAAAAACAAATTTCCCTATTCAAATTAGAATTAAAAATTCAGATAGTTCTTTTTCCTATTTAAATGAACAATGGGCCTACAAGATCATTTTTTTCTCCTTTCTTTTATGTTTTAAAACATAATTTTACATTCTTAAATCAAAAAATTTATTCAAATGAACATAATCACATTACTCACTTTAAGTCTAATATTAGGTCGGGTCGGGCCGGGCTATTTTGATAAAACCCGAGCGCGGCTCGAATTTATTGCGGGCCGGGCTTTTTGGCCCGAATTTAAGCCTACGGGCCTATAACCACGTTCAAGCCCGTCCGGGGGCCGGGGCAGGCCGGGCCGGCCCGTCAGGCCACCCGGTCCATGAACAGGTCTACCCACTGACATCGCTTTTCACCCAAAAAAAAAAAAGAATTGTAAAATCCTTGGCCCGTATTTCTTATTTGAGAAATGAAAGAAGGCGCCGTCTCCGAATGCTTTTGAATTATAAAATTTCTTCCATTTGTTTCTCTCTTCGCCATCTTCTCAAATCCTTCTCTCTCTGCCTGTGCCTGGGCGTCGCTCGTCGAAGTGCAAGTTTGAGGATAGTGCCTCTTGAGTTCTGCCATGGATCTAGATCTGTGGATTTCAAAGGTTAAAGAAGGGCAACATTTAACGGAAGACGAGCTTCAGCTTTTGTGCGAATATGTAAGTTTTTAACATCGTCTTTTCTAGGTTTTTTCTCGATGCTCGTATGTGATTTAGTCGTTTAGGGATTAGAGGCCTTTTTGTTCATGGATTAAATAGGAATCCGTGAATAGCTTAAAATATTATGTTTTGGAATTGTGAATTTTGTAGTTCCCATGGTGTATAATGTAGCTCTTTCTTTCAGTTTTTTTCACTAGGGTTGAAATATGCCTTTTCCGTTGAAACCCCACTTCCAGTCTTCGCCTTCAAAAGTGTAATCACGTTCTTGACGTGTGGCAAAAACAAAACCTTAATTGATTTCCTATTGCTAATATTGGAGCTTGGTGGTCTTTTCAAAAGACTATTAATAGTGGCAATAGATGCTCTTGAAAGCAGAGAGCGTGTCGGTACCGTTTGACAGTGTCTCCGTGGCATGAAGTATATGGAAGATTGAGGTTCTAGAATAATTAAAATGTATCTTCTGTTTTTGCACAATCTTGAACGGTACAACAATTGTAAAATAGCGCTTAACTTTCATCAGCTAACTTAGGAAACTACCAATCAATGACTCCTTCCTATTTTTTGTTATGTAACTCTGGAGAAATGTATGGAGGTTTTTCCTGCATTGATTTTTTTTTTTGTTCTTGAGAGCTAAGGGGCAGGTCCAAATTTGTCTTCACCTACTTTTAATGGTTCCTATTTCAGAGATCAGTTTAATTCATAATTGTTCATATTGGCAAATACCTTCTTAGATTCTTAGTCGTTCCAGTTTCCTTATTATCATGGTTGCTTTGCTTGGGAGTTCCTTTGGTCTCTCACCCTCTCTGTCATTTTGTGGAAGGGTTATTGCTGGGTATATTAGGCTGTGTTTGGTAAGAGTTTAAGCAGTGAATATACTGGCATGAATGCAAATTTGTTCAAATAGAAGGATACAAACTTGGTTTGGTTTTGCACTGATAAATTTACAGTGTCATGTTTGGTTGTGATAGAAGCCAACCTATTTTACATTGGTGAACTTTGAGCGCAAAGTTTGCTTCCAATTCGTTCCCATTTTAAATGCAAAAACAGTTGAAAAAAAAAAGAAATTTACTTTCATTGTCAGTACAAAAACATACTCTTACCAATCACCTGCAAAACTGAACCAAAGTGCAAATTCGTTTCCGTTCTGCATTTGCACTCTTACCTAATACAGCCTTAGGCTCCATTTGGAAGGAGTACAAATACAAATGTGTAGAGCGCTAAACCTTGCATTTTGTATTATTTGTATGTAATTGTACTGTACATATTTGTATTTGTACTCCTTCCAAACTGAGCCCTATGTACAGTCTATCATTATTCTTTATCATGACATTTTATTACTTGTTTTTCTAATATTCCTGTGTTATTCTTGGGTGTGTCCTTTTTATGTTGACATATGAATGATGCCCTTTGTAGGTGAAAGAGATCTTAATTGAGGAGTCAAATGTCCAGCCAGTTAATAGCCCAGTTACTGTTTGTGGTGATATTCATGGCCAGTTTCATGATCTAATGAAACTCTTTCAGACAGGAGGTCATGTACCAGAGACAAATTACATATTTATGGTAAACTTTAAATGCTTGCTTCTTTTAACTCTAATTTTGTAACTTGTTTTTGTCACATGTTATTATGCACTTATTTCTGTAGACTTCAAGTCTTCCTAAATCATTGGCAGGGAGATTTTGTTGATCGTGGCTACAACAGTCTAGAAGTTTTTACAATTCTTTTGCTTCTCAAAGCAAGGTATGTACAATATATAACTATTAATTATATGAATGATACAAATAGCATTCCTCTGTCTTTGTCCTGGTTTTTTGTCTTAACGTCTGTTGCATTCTTACTCTGTCAAAGCATAATGCAACTTCCTATAACCGTAACTTAAATATTATATGTGTTTATAGATGTTCTTCCCTTCTATCTATAACTTGGATACCTTGATAAAGAAATCATAGCATATTCGATAATATTTGGAGATCTTTCTACCCCTTTCTTTCTGTTTCTCATTTTGAACTTTAGGACTCTACTGTTATGCTAAAGTCAATTCCACAATCCCTCTCAAGCTGGTCAGTTCATGTTATATAATCCCAGCTTGCTACAAATAAAGTCAGCCAGAGGTAGATTTATGGACTGTGAATAGGTCAGCAAGCTGATTCCCCAAGTTGACACGGGGAGTGCTAATGTCTTTATCAAGCACTCATGGGTAGTTTCACTGGTATCCCCAGCTCCTGTAGAAAGGTCTTTAGCCATATGGCTCATATTAGCTGACATGTGGTATGATTCATAGCCTAGTACTAAGCTTCAGCATTTGATTTGTCACTACACTTGTTTCTCACTCTTTAGGTAACCAGATTACTCCCTAAAAAAGTGCAACAACCTGTAGACAATTGTCCATCCTGAAGGTGATCCAGCTTAATCAACCTTTGTAAATACTGTAATACTAAAACTTCCATGGTCCTTATACAACAATCCATGATCTGGTGACCCTTTTAGATACTTTAATATATGATAAACAACTTCCAAGTGTGGAGTGGTGCATCCAGAACCTGGTTAGTTACACTTGCTGCAAATGAGATGTCAGGACAAGTAATTGAAGGTAGTTTAGTTTTCCAACTAAATATTTGCACTCACCATGGTTGCAAGGTGCTAACCAGCTGCTTGGTAAGGTCTCCTTCTGGTTGTAGCGGAGACTTGGGGATTGAATCCCGCCTGCACCTGGGTTGGGGGATGGACTGCCCCTCATTGTGTAGCCCTAAAAAATTGCACTCACCATGGTCATTGATCAATTTCCCTTAATCTACAACCAACTTCATAATAGGATCCATAGGTGTAGGACATGGTTTGAACTCCAATGTGTAAAGATTATAATGGTTATAGAGAGAATGATGGAGACACCAGCCCTACTCTATTTTAATCTTCTTCTTCTTCCTCCTCTCTCTGTCTCCCCTTTTCTTTCCTCCTTTTTGTTCTTTGTTTCTGATCTATGATTGAAAACATGGTATCAGAGCAAAAATAAACTCTCAGATCTTTCTGTTTGTAGCAGAAAAAATAAGCATCAGATCAGATCCTCATTCCTTTCTTTTTCTTTCTTGTGTATTTGTTCTTGGTAGTTCAGAAATATTGAACCAATCAGCCAAAGAAGATTTTTTAAATATTATTTTTGATGTTTTAGTTTTCCATTTCTTGGTCAAAATAACCAAGATTTAGGTTGGGCAGTTAAGAAGCATGTCCAGAAAATGAATTTGGCAGAAAAGTAAATGCTTAGATGGGTGAATGGTAAAACTAGAAATGATAAGTTTAGAAATGAAATCATATAAAGGAACCTAGGAGTAGCCCCAGTAGGTGATAAAATGAGAGAAAGTAGTTTGAGTTGGTTTGGTCCTGTGCATAGAAGACCATCTACAGCACCTATTAGAAAAAAAGTGATCTATTACAAGGTGAGGGGGCTAGAAGAGCTAGGGGCAGACCGAAAAGGTTTTGGGTGGAAGTAATAAGAAATTATTTAAGTGCTCGTGATTTAATGATGGATATGGCACTGAACAGAACGAAATGCCAAAACAGGATTCATGTAGTCAATCCAAGGCTTAGATGATGATGACGATAATGATGAGGATGGTGGTGGTCAAAACAATCAAGATCCATTCTTTGTGATAAGCATGGACTTCCTGATCCTCTATGAAGATGTTAGAACATCTACTATTCAGATTGAGCAGATTGTGAGGTTTGAATTTTTTATTTCAGATTTGAGCATGCAGATATAACATATCAGGTATACCAGATGTGTATGGTTCCTAAGAGAAGTGGGACCAAGAGAACTTGATAGTAATGTCATGATTGCTAGACTCTATGCAACTAAGATGGGCTTTCAACCTTTCAACTCTAACTACCTAGTGGATTCTTAATAGTATAAACTCAATAGAACCCAACACATTTCTTACCTTGGTGGAAGAGGTACAAGTTCTCAGGTGCCATTTTTGTTTAAGGCTGTTATTTCCATTGTTATTGTCAAACTTGGGTTAGATATTGCTTCTTGAATAGACTTGGGAATAGAGGTCAATGGAAAAGAGGATATAAAACTACAAACTCCAATACACAACTCTAGATGCTTAGGAGAAAACTCAAGAGGTGGATCCACAGACGCAAAAGGTCTTGATTGAGAAGCAATATTATTTCTCCATCTTGTATAAACTTAAAGTAATGGGTGGCTTAGGGGCTAGGTCTATAGTTCGAGAGGTAGGAGGGATGGACAAAGGCAAAGAGGAACTAAGTAACCATGGAGCCTTCATCCGGAAAATATGGTTTGACAATATAGTTTGGGACAATAACACCTGTACCCCTCTTCATTCCCTCTACACATTCATTGGCTATTAGGATTTGATCAATTATTTGTCTCCCTTGAACAAAAGCTCCATGAAACTAGCTGATGAGGGATGGAAGTACTGCTTTAATCCTCAATGACAAAACTTTAGCAATTATTTTATAGATATTTTCCATCAAACTAATGGGATGGAAATCCTTGGGTTGGCTAGCATTGGATTTTTTTTTTTGGAATTAGAGCCAAGAAAGTTGCATTAACTCCAGGGTTGACAGCGTGTGTTTGAGAAATCCTTGGGTTGGCTAGCATCAAATTTTTTTTTGGAATTAGAGACAAGAAAGTTGCATTAACTCCAGGGTTGACAGTGTGTGTGTTTGAGAATTCCTTAAAGACTTCGAAGTTCCAAGAGCTCATCTTTCACTGCTTCCCAACAATCCTAATAGAAAGCCATTGTAAATTCATCTGGACTCGGTGCTTTAGTTTTGTCCATTGAAAAGATTGCCTTTTTTATCTTCTCATCCTCAAAATCCCTTTCTAGCCATCTTGCTGCTTCCTCTTCTAATAAGGGCCACTCTAACCCTTCTACATTCAATCTTTCACCCAAAGATCTTCTGCAAAAGGATTTGAAGTGATCTACAAATGTCCTGGCTATCTCATCTTGGTTAGAGGGGCTGACGTACCCATTAACAAGTAAAATTTGCTTAGATGAGGAAATGTAGGGACTAAAATGAGAAGTAAATATTGAGTACCTGTCATGTCATGTGATTGGAAGGTCCAGAGTTAATAGCGCAAGGGGCAAATTATGTAGAGACAAGACAGGTTGAATCAATACGTGACTGGCTAAAGTAGTAGTGGACAAACTCACAAACAGGCTTGGGAATTAGATCAGGCTTACATATTCCTTCGAAATATTCACTTAATCACTCTGTTAGTAGCTGGAAAATGTTGTTTTGGGTGTTACTAGGTATTGTACTAGCAACACTTCCCTCTTGATATGTAACATGATTAAAATATCTATATGACATGCCATTAAGTTATATGATAAAACTTCACAGTATGTCCTTAGCAAAGTGAGAATATAATCTAAACACTATTCAAATCATGAGGACAATTGGGAGGTGGTAACTAGATGTAAAAAGCTAGGAGGTCTTGGGATTGGGAATATTAGGAAAAGGAACATGGCATTGTTGGGGAAATGGTTATGGAGGTTTCCATTGGAAGAAGACAAATTGTGGACAAAGATTGTGGCTAGCATACATGGGCTGGAAGACAATGGTTGGGAACCTAGAATTATGGCAAGGTCTACAACTGCCTCTCCTTGGAAAGCCATTCATGATTTGCTTTCAGTTTTCTCCCCTTGGATCAGGTATGGTCTTAACTCCGGTAATAGAATAAAATTTTGGGAGCACCATTGGGTTGGGAACTCACCTTTGATGGACCAATTTCCCTCTTTGTATGCTCTGTCAGATTTGAAAAACGAACCCATATCATCCTTCTTAAGCCCTTCAGAATCTTCTTCTAGTTTTGGGTGGAACCTAGGCCTGAGAAGGGCAATTAGGGATACAGATTTGGGCTGCATCATGTCTTTGTTAGGCATCCTTGAAAATGCCTTCTTGAACCCTAATAAGGAGGACACCAGATTTTGGACCCCTTCCTCCTCAGGTACTTTCTCTTGTGCTTCGTTTTTTGAGACATTAACTCAGCCTTTTGAGCCTATTAAAGAAATTTGGAGTAAGCCCATTCCTCCTCGGGTTGGTAGTTTTTGTTGGGAAACTTTCTTGGAAAGAATTAACACAAATGACCTACTTCAGAAAAAGAGACCCAATTCTTGTTTACTTCCTAATAGGTGTGTTCTCTGTAAAGCTGATGGGAAAATTGGTTACCACCTTATGGTTACTTGTTCGGTCGCTAAAACAGTATGGGAGTGGCTTCTTTACTTCCTAATAGGTGTGCTCTCTGTAAAGCTGATGGGGAAATTGGTTACCACCTTATGGTTATTTGTTCGGTTGCTAAAACAGTATAGGAGTGGGTTTTTTCCTTCTTTGAGTGTATTTGGATTCCCCTTGGGAGCGTCCAAAGATTGTTCTCTTCATTTTTCAGATGGCTGAAGAAGAGAGGGAAGATTATGTGGAGAAACATTAGGGCAGCAGTGTGTTGGTCCCTATGGGAAGAAAGAAACTCACGAATCTTTTTAGACAAGGAAAGAACCCTTGAAAACTTATTAGATCTAATACTATTAAGGGTAACCCGCTGGCTGAAAACTATAGAGATGTTCTTAGGTTATTCTGTGGCTGGTTTGGTAAGAAATTGGAAAGAGATAGCTACCTCTGCCCTATGTAAGAGGACTCGTAGCCCCTCTTGGTCCCGTCCTCCCTCTGGGTTCATAAAACTGAATTTTGATGGTAGTTGCTTAAGGAATCCAGGGCCTTTTGGGATTGGGGGAGTGTTCAGGAATGATGATGGGGTTATTACTGCCATGTTCTCAGGCCCAATTGGAGGAGACTCTCTTGGGGCTGAGATTCTTGTAGACCTGGAAGGTATCCAAAGAGCAAGAGATTTGAACATTAGACGTTTGGTCCTTGAAGGTGACACAGAGGTGGCTAAAGGAAGAAGACAGTGGTTTGTGGAGTTATAACAATGAGAAGAAAAAATTCAAATGGCTGAGTAGGATATTGTAATGCACTACAGCAGGGTGAAGAGGACTGCTAACTCATTTGCTGATGGGTTAGCCAAGCAAAGGGTGAATAGGGAATCTATATTTTGGGCTAATTTTTAACTTTCTTCCAATGTATTCTGTTGGTGAGGAGTTAAGACATTTTACCTCCCCCCTTTTGTACTTAAAGTTTCACATAGTTTCACATCATTAATAAAGTTTCTTGATACTGATAAAAAAAAAAGATAATTGATGGTGTGCTCTTCTCTCTTGCAACATGTGCAATATTGAGTATTCCTTCCATGGTCATGTCCTCCAAAGATTTTTCCATCACATCCACTATGTATATTTCTTCTACCTCCAAGTAAAACCCCATGACCACACCATGTCCAGCTCCCCCTATAATGGCAAGTGTTGAATAGTTAGACGTTCTAGTATGCTCAGATTTAGACAAGGGTGAATTGTGGACTGCCCAATTCAAATTGGATCTGAAAACATTGCTTTAATATGACCTTTATTCCTAAAAGCCTTTTCCAACTCCAGGATCCAGATTTCTATTTTCCATAGCTGCTTCCATCAAAATTGAACTTAATGAAGCCTTCCTGAGGTGGGGTCAAAGCACTATTGGCAACCTAGGTACTATTTGAAATGTTGTCCTTCCTGTGATGTTATCTGTTTCTGACATTTGCATTTCAAGAAGACATTCCAAAATATAACTCGTTTTTATTTCTTGAAGAAGAAATATTGCAACTGTATGATTTCTCAATTTTATATTTGACAAGAGAAATGTAAAGAGGTTGCACATTCTGATTTCTGTGTTCTGTGTTTCTTAATAGATATCCTGCTAACATAACTCTTTTGCGTGGAAACCATGAGAGCAGGCAACTAACTCAGGTATGCTTTCATATTATGCTATAGGTATAAGGTTTTGCATTATTGAACTGGCTCTTTATGGAGGAAATTTAAGATACCCATCTGGTAGTTTGTGTGGACAATTCACCAACTGAATGACACACGCAGGACGGTGAGAACTACCATCTGTTGGTCCCAATTAGGATAATCAAAGATTATCCAAAATGGTTGGTCCTGTCTTAACAATCTGAAATACTGCATTCTTTGGTACGATAAAGCATCTGCTTGATATATTGGATGGTTAGAATCATCTATTGGGTCAGGTTTTGCTGAGAAGATCTTTGAAGTGTGAGATCATGAAGGTGGGTTCTGTTCTCTTGCAAGTGAGCTACATTTAATGCTAACCCTTTGGTAGACTGTGTTATTATCTACCTGGAATATGTGTCTGTGTGTCCTGAAGTTGAGCATATTTTTCCATTAGACTATTGTGGCATGTTCAGAAACTTGCCAAGTATTTCCAATTTATAGAGGATTTTTTTCAATGTTTCTGTTGTTTTTGGTTGCTTACTTTGTTCAATAGTAAGTTTTTGCTATGATGGTTGTAATTTTATTAGTAAATTATGGGCGGTGTTGTTTGGTGTGATGATATGGGTGATTGTGTGGCTCAGGTCTTTGTAGGGATGCAGAGTGGATTCAAGTCAATTCGTTTTGAATTCAAATTTGATTTTGTTTAAGCAGGATTTGGATATCCATTTTTCTATAATCAGATTGAATCAGATTTGAAAATGCAATCTGTTTATTAGTTGGATTGAATTCGGGCATTGCTTGGTCATTGTCATAAACTGGCATGGCGTGGTCGCACTTGGAGAATAGAGGGGCAAAGTGGCAAAGGTTTTGGAAGTTGTTTAGGTTACTAAGCTCAAACTGATTGTTGGGTAAAAGGATAGGAAAATCTTCAAATATGTAAATTTATATTGGTAAAAAAGTTCTGAATAATTTTGGCGTTTTTTTTGGTATTTAGAGACAAGTTTCAGTGGGTTACTTCCAAGTTAATAGCTTAGTGTATGATGTCGAGAGAGATGTTTCTTTTTTCTTTTTTTGATTAATAAGTGATTCATTAATTTAACTTAAAAAATATTACAAATTAGTGCTGGTACAGAATTATGATAATCAGCCCTTTTATAATCTTCTAGCAAACCCAATTGCAATTCTTCCCAAAAAAATTGTTCCCTATACACCCCTTGCTTGCCAATGAGTCAGCCATTCCATTTGCAGTTCTCTTCACCCATCTAAATGTGGCCCCCATCTCCCTTGCTAAACTCTTAGTCTCTCTTATGATTTGCCTGTGGATCCACACCCCTGGATTGGTGTCACTCATCCATGAGATTACCAGCTTTGAATCCCCCTCCATCTCTACATGTTGAATGCCGAGTTGTTTTGTAAACTTCATTCCTTGAAGCACTGCCATCACTTCAGCTCTTGGGTAATTCCCAACTCCAACTGGGCCTGAGAATAAAGCCACCACTTTGCCTTCTGTATCCGTAAGCATGCCTCCAATTCTTGACAGGCCTGAGTTCCTAATGAACTGTCATCAAAGTTGAGCATCAGTCTGTAATTTGAAGGAGGCTTCCATTCCATAATAACTTTATTTCCAATCGTGGAGGAATTTGCTACTTTGTTCCAATCCCTCAGAATGTCATCTACTGATATCAAATAAAATGCTTCCATAGAAGCATTTGGAGTTGAAAAACAACAAGAAGTAGGAATGCTTTACTCCCACATCCATAGAAGATAAACCCCTTAAACACAGAAAGAACATGTGGATACACACAAACCTAAATTGTTGGGATTGCTATCCATAAAGATTAGGAACATGGATGCAATATATTTCCACTCCTAACTCTCTGAACTGCAGTTTAGAGAAGAAATGCGTTTGTATTACCATGGGCCTAATTACTAAGGTGGCATTTGGTTTGTTTTAATGGAATATTTCTGGTGTTCTTGGAACAGAAAATCAACTATATTGTTTTCCGAGGAACCCCAACAATATTTCTGTGGAATGACAACATTTTGTGTGTGCGTGTGGGTGTGACTGTGCATGTGCGTGTATGAAAAAAGGTATGATGAAAAGGAGCCTCCCAGAAAATGTCTTTATCACCTAGCCCATCTGGAATGGGGGGTGTAATAAGAGACAAGAATGGGACTTTAAATGCTTTGTATTCCGGTCCGATAGTGGAGCAGTGATTTAAAAGGCGTGCCTAGGCGCACAGGTGAGGCACATTTTAGGGTAGGCGCCTTGCCCAGGTCCTAGGCGCAGCACTTTCAAAAGGCGCATGGCTGGTGTGCGTAGGCGTGCACTTGATGTGCCTTGTGCCTTGGCCCAGGCGTGCGCCTTTTGAAAATTGCATGCTTTTTTGTTTTTTCTGACCCTAGAGGCTGGGCTGGGGGCTCTGCCCCCAGACCCTTGACCATGCCCCTCGAGGCAAGCCCAAACAAGTCCATTTACTGGAGCTCTAAGAACCCCCTATTTGTTAATGTTGTTCATTCATTTATCTTAATAAAATATCTTCTTAAAAGCCAATTAAAATTATAAAATCATTATTTTTTGTGTGAGAATTAAGAACTTAAGACCCTAACATGGACTTGTTTGGACTTGCATCAAGGGGCGTGGCACAAAAGCGACCCGTAGAATCAGGAATGTAATATGTTTTACATCACATTAGCTACTTGAAGTAATGCAATTGAGGAAAAAAAGAGATTGTGGCCTGTACATGCTTGAAAATGTTTTATATGTTTGATTTTATTTTTAATTTTTCATTTGAATATGCTTTACATGTTATGTTTATGTATTTTAATTTTAGATAATAGGTTTTTTAAACCATTAATTTTAAAATTTAAGTTGATATTTCTTATTAATATTATTTTTGATATTTTTTTGCATTTTTTGAATTTTCTGACTTTTTTTTTTTGCATTTTTTATGTATCAGCTAATAACCACTTTTGTATTTTTGCACCTTGCGCCTCAGGCGCATATTGGCCCTTGTGCTTTTTTTGCCCCTTGCACTTTTAAAACATGGGGGTGAAGTTGAAGGCAGCAGTTGTTGGGGTGTAAAAAGCAAAGGAAATGGAGATCAACAAACTGGTCATTGAATGAGATTCTAAAGTGGTTATTAGCTGGTTATTGAAGAGCATTGCAGCAAACTGGATCTACAGAAATGAAATAAGATGGTTTGACTGGCATTCCAAAGATATGCAATTGGAAATACAATTGGTACAAAGATCAGCTGGCAGTTTGGCTGATGGGTTAGCAAAGGAAGGGGTTACTAGACAAGAAATGTTTTGGGCTTAGTTGTAATTAAGTATGACTCAGGGTGAGATGGCAGGGACTATGCTCAAGTTTTCTAACTGATTTGTTAACTCACACTCTTGTACTTGCATTTATCCTAAGTAATAAAATCTGTTTTCTGTTGGCGATAAAAAAATGCCTTGTCACCTAGGCACATGCCTAGGCATTGCCTTGATAATTATGATGACAATTGGTGAGATTAATCCAAATATTGGTGTTACTATATATGTTCCTTTAAACTCTTGCTTCACACTGACCATGTGGAAACATCACTTAATTCTGTACTTGGTTCAATACTTCACATTTTTATTTAGGCATTAATTATACCTGAAAGATGCCACTTAGCAAGGAGGGAAATGGTACTGTTGGTTTTCCGTGTATTGGTTTGACTGATGTTGGAGCTTGGTTGCACAATTAGCATTGATTTGGGTTTAGACTGTCTAAACATTTGCCAGCATCTAGCTGTTAGTGCCATGCATTGATTCTGTTAGTTTGAGTTTGTTAATTGGGTATGAACACCATGCCGTAATGTAAAACAAAAATAGAAGGTTTTCCTTAGATAAGAAAGTGTTGGTTGAGCTGAATAGATCTATCATGTCATCCACATTACTGTATTCCCCGTCTCATCTTCAGCAACAGAAGAATAGACTTGTTATGGTCAGTCTGTTGCTGAACCATTAACATAGTGTGCCTAGGTTCTCTCTCTCTCTCTCTTTCTCTCTCACACACACACATTCTATTGGTCTTTGCTGAACCATTAACATAGTGTGCCTAGGTTCTCTCTCTCTCTCTTTCTCTCTCACACACACACACACATTCTATTGGTCTTTGGTAAATTTAAAACCTCATCTAAATCCTTCAATTGAGGTAAGGGACTAATTGATTAACCTATCTATAAGATGCTTACTGGTGTATTATATCTACATTTGCTAGGTATATGGCTTTTATGATGAATGCCAGAGGAAGTATGGGAATGCTAATGCCTGGCGATTCTGCACTGATGTTTTTGACTACCTGACACTTTCAGCAATTATAGATGGAACTGTACAATCCCTTCTTTTCATTCTTATGCCTGGATTTTTCTCTTTTTCTTGGTTTTCTGATTTGCATTTTGCTCATCAGTTCCTTTTTACTTCTACTCGTTCAGGTTCTTTGTGTCCATGGTGGTCTTTCTCCTGATGTTCGAACAATTGACCAGGTTTATAATTTGCTCCTTTTCTTGATCTTTCTGATCACATGTTAAAATTTCTTCCTGGTCATATCTAATGCAAGATCTTGGCATTCTGGTTACTAATTATTTTGGTGGACTTTTCTCTTCCATTTATTTCATGTATTTGTTATACCATGCAAAAGAAATCAATTTACTAGGGGGACATGGGATCATTGTCTGCTGTACTCTACCCAGGATACAAGATTGATTTGACACTTGGTGATCAGAAATGGAAAAGAAAAAGTATCTATTACTTCATTTCATGAATTCTCTAGTATCCCTTGGATGATCTGTGATTTTATGCACAACTGCACATACCTTTTTTTCGTAGACAATTGTCTCCCCTTTCATCCACTCCCCACCACCCCAAAGAAATAGAATTTCTGGGGAATCAGTTTCTTCTTGTGATACAGAGTTGGTATTAGCTCTTCACAGTTCCATGTGTTTTTTTACTTTGACAGATAAGGGTTATTGAACGTAATTGCGAAATTCCTCATGAGGGGCCTTTCTGTGATCTCATGTGGAGTGACCCTGAAGAGATTGAAACCTGGGCAGTCAGCCCACGTGGTGCTGGCTGGCTTTTTGGATCAAGGGTTACATCTGAGGTAAATAAACATATTCCCAACTTCCAAGATCCAAATCACCTGTGCCTTTTATTACAGTTTCATTTCTTCTGCAGTTCAATCACATAAATAACCTCGATCTGGTTTGTCGAGCCCACCAACTTGTACAAGAAGGTCTCAAGTACATGTTTCAGGACAAAGGCCTTGTAACCGTGAGTTGAATTCTTTTATAACTTGCCATGTTTCACTTGCAATCTTATTAACCTTAAATTCTTGCAATTGCTGCCTCCTCCTCACTTTTGTTTAACATCATAATGGCTAATGAGCATTTTGTTTCTTTTTGCAGGTTTGGTCTGCACCAAATTATTGTTATCGGTGTGGCAATGTAGCTTCTATTTTGAGCTTCAATGAGAATATGGTATCATATTGTATAACCTTGCAAGCTTTCATTCTATTACTATTACTGTTATGGTTCTATGCATGCTCTAGAATGATTAAATCTACCCTGAACTGCTCTGGCTTTCTTGCTGACCTGGTTTGATCTGGGTTTCATTTGTTGAAACAGTAAGTTTGTTCATGTTCACATCTTGACTGCCCGAGTATGATCGTACTGACAGAACAGCTGAATTAGAAAAGCCATTTAAATTAGGCAATCTGATCCCATATCTGACATGTCAAACAGATCTAAAGGTGGCTTTCTGAAGAGCTGAACTGACCTCTGAACTTTAAAATATTTGCTTTTTAGAGGCCAAAGTGGACTTACCAGTTAATGGAACCTGTTTGAGGTTGTCAACCTTTGGAGTGTATTGGAATGCCCAACACAAGGATTTGGATGGTTCATTCTCTAGGTTTAATGTTTCCCAACTGAGTATGGATTCCTGTCTGCATTTTCAAATGTTAAGAGAGGAAATATAATTCAGCAATAATCCTGATCGCAAAGTAGAAAAAAAGGAAATGAAGAAGGAATAAAAAGCTGTTCAGGAGAAAGGAGAAGACAAAAGAAGGGAGGAGTGGAGGGCTGATTCGAACCTTTCTCTATCCCTTAAGAAATCAAGGGACAGAGAGAGGCACCCTTGGGCGGCTGACCCACTACAGCGAAACAAGGTTCTAAATATCGATACGTATCGGGCAGTATCGGTCCTTTTTTTACTTTTTTGTATTTTTTTTTTAAATCGGTTCAGGGGGGCTAGTTTAAGGCTCATCCACCCCCTGAACCGGTCAGAACCCTGATACACCCTCTGTAGGGGCATATCGGGGTGCTCCCGATACGATACGTATCGGCCTATACGTGCCGGTACTTTGAACCTTGCAGCGAAATAAAGTAGCTAAATAAATAAACAAAACTAAGGCCTGCTGGACCCAATCTCTGTACATTAAGAATTGCCATCCATTAAAGTTCTCTTAATTTGAACCAGACCTATCTACCAAAGAAAAGTTGAACCAGATCCTAAATACTTGTACTCATGGTCTAGTTGCCAATGTTTTATTATATCTTTATTTAATTATTTTTTAACACAGCTAGTCTATACCACTGATGCTCTGTTTATTTATTACTATTATTATTTTTTGGTTAAACTAGGAGAGAGAAGTGAAGTTCTTCACCGAAACAGAGGAGAACAACCAGATGAGAGGTCCCAGGACAGGAGTTTCATATTTCTTATGAGTACCATTTTGTCATCTGTAAAATTATTTGAATAATCTAGCTACTTGTCAGTGGAAAGGAAAGAACTATGAAAGTGAAGGTAGATGATTATTTTTGGCAATTAAAGATTTGCCTGAGCTTCTCTGGTCTTATTGCAGTTTGAATGTGTTGTATATTACAGATTTATTGCTATTATTTCTGCTTAGTGGAAACTTTTTCCTTTTCTAGGCCAGGTTTTTGCTCCAACTGAGATTTTGCCTAGCTAAATGCAGCATGTAATGGAACATTAATTTCATTTGAATCTAATCTATTAGCTTTCTTTGGTGTAAAACGAAATTCATTAATGGCCGTATGGAAACAGTCCAGGCAGGATCGTTACATCCAATATAAAGGCTCAAAATATTGACCCTGAACTGGGTTGAGGGGAAAACAATTCTATCAAAATTTGACAATCAGAATTTTCCAACCAATGTGCTATATATATCGTGGCCTTTGAAGGGAATTCAATAAGTCGCTGTCACTTTTCCTTAACGTGGATATAAGAAATTGATGGGTGTGGATTGGTTTATAGTTTATACCACACTGGACAAGACTAATTCACACCATACCATTGTCTTCAGCTGTTTTGAATTGTGGATAAAATTGTATGGATAGAAACCCACATGGGTTTTAAACTCCGATTTATGAGATAATCTATATAGTCGATCATGAATGAAAAATTCTTAAAAATAATTTGGAACAATAATGGATAAAAATAAAACACCAATACACATACGCCAAAGATTATAGGATGAATATGAATTTATAAAATAATATGAAATATTTTTTTAATAAAAAATGGTGATAAAACTATTTGGAAAATGAGAATAAGATAAAAAAAATAAAAAAAAAATCACTGTCAAATTCTATCACAAAAAAGCAATAATTATATACTAATCATTAGCTCCGATGAAGGTTGCTTTACTTCAGTCTAGCATTCAAAATATTGGTACCCCTTGCCATACATACTGGTGTGGTGTTAAAGAGCATAAAAAACCGAAGTTTAATACTTGAACAAAAACAACAAAAGTGCCATAGTGAGATAGATAAGAATAGTGGTGTAAAATATTGCATCCACAACATGCAAGCAACACAATGTCCAATTTATGTAACTTGAGTGATTCTCCTATTTTGGGAAATGAAGAAACAACCACCACCCATTATTAACTAGTTTTTGTCATAACTAATTTCATCGATTCCCTACCCCATGAGCACATAAACATATGTATATCTTTAGCCATCATTGTATTAATCTATCAGTGGACAAGTATGAGCTGCGATATCAATCGTCCAAACTAGCATATAGAACACTGTTGGACTGGTAGCAAATGGTGGAGGTTGGAGCAAAAGATGAAGAGAAAAAAACCTTTGTATAAGAAATGGCGAAGATAAAAATATAGGAGTAAAACAAAGAAGAGAAAGAAAATAGTATTTGTAATCAAGGTTCTAAATATCAATATGTCCGATATGTTGGTAGGGCCATATCAGTCCTTTTTTTTTACTTTTTTTTTTCAAAATCGGTTCAGGGGCTGGTTTAAGGCTCTTTCACCCCCTGAACCAATTAGAACCCCAATACATCTTTTATAGGGACATATCGGGATACTCCCGATACGAGCTAATACATGTCAATACTTTGAACCTTGCTCGTAATAGCAGATTCCATCGAAGGGTGAATAGTGAGACTAAGCAACGGTGGGGATAGCCAAACCAGAAGAGAAGAAGAATAGAAGAGGTTATAGTAAGGTTTCCAACAGTTCAGTGCAGTGTACAACTGGTGCGATGCATCCACAATATTTTATGGATAGGGATTGTTCACAGTAACTGAACACTCTTAAAACTCGTGGACGGGACCAAAATGGTTCCATCCATCATCCATGAGATGAATACAGAAATGAACACCACCTTAATTATTGGTTCAAACATAAAGAGGGCTGTGCTGTAATATCCACCGCGTAAAGGCATCCTTTCCTTTTTATAATCCTTTGAGACAAGAAGCGAGAGTAAATAGAAAGAGATGCTGGCTTTCGGGACCTCGTGATCCCTCCTTATAAACGAGGATCCTCTTCATAACGAAAGCTATTCTCTCAACCATTGATCCACTTAATCATTAGATTCCTTGCTAACCGTCTCTTCACTTTTGCTTGCCCTACCCCTTCAGTTGATTCCCTATTTCCGGTCTTTATTTGTCTTTCAAGGAGACCACTTTCACATAGCCTAGCCACACCTCACCTACGACAAGTATGTCAGCTAAAATAATGCTCAAATTGGACCTGAATTTACCTAGACTAGTTGAGTCTCAATCTAAATTCAAACAAATAGATAGCATTTGCAATTCCAAATCCTAATAACATTAATTTAAAGTCCATTTGAATTTAGAAATAATTACACCAATAAATTTTTAAAACTAATTGATAAAAAATTAAAATTCATAGACAAATATTTCACCTAGAAATATTGTTTGAATTGAACTTGCCCAAACCAATTGATTCTTAATTTGAATTTAGATAAATAGATATCATTTGTATTTAAATTTAAATTTCATAAACAAACAACTCAGCTAAAAGTATTAATGCTTGGATCAGACTTGAACCTAACTAAATGCCCCAAACTTAATATCATAGGCCATAGGGCGCCTTCGTCCTAGCTTCCACTTAATTAATTTTTCTCAACGGAGTTCAGATTTGATCCTCTTACAGCGACTCTCATATATACCAAGATGGTTGGTATATATGAGAGAGAGAAAGAGCCTTAACCAGGAGTTAGTCGGTGAAGATTTAGAAGAAGAAGATTATTAATCATGGCATCATAGCCCAAAAGGTTTCCTACAAATAAATGACACTTCATTAAATCAATCCAGGGTATTTTCGTTAAGCCCCTCTTGCCCATTTTAGATCCTTACGTCTTTGCAATACTGTATATAAAATTATCGCAAAAATTCTAGTAAATAGGCTGAAATCCTATCTTAACTTAATAAATGACAACATTCGGATTGCTCACCAGCTAAATCTTGTTGAAAGTCGGAAGTACAAACCAGTGCTTAAACTTATCATGATCATTGATTGCTGCAATACATCTTGAGGGTCACGGGATGGTCCCGTTAATGTATCCAAGTAAACCTGCTCCTTCGAGTGTGAGTGCCAAAGCAAGTAGTTGTGATGGTCAAGTTTGACAGTGATGATGTGTGTAAGATTTATGTTGGTTGGCCCTGAGTTTTAGGCTTGTGTGGTTTGGGAAGAGATGGCTATGCTACCGGTCGTCGAGCTTGGTTGGGGTTTGTTTGTTTCTGCTATCTCGCTCCATCCCTGCTCTGCAACTTGACAGAAACCTTTTTGTCATCGCGCGTCAAGGCATTTGCATCTGGTATGTGAGCACACGACTGATTCAAATATGCCGACTGGTTGGTAGCATAGCCATCCCTCTTCCCAAACCACATCCAACATAAATCTTACACACCTCGTGACTGGCAAACTTGACCTGCTTTGGCACTCACAGGTGTACCAAGTTCTCAATTGAACATGTTTACTTGGATACGTATGAGATTGACTTCCACCAGGGCAAATCCGTGCCACACCGTTCCAACAACATTTGCAATCTTACATCGGAAATATCTCCTCATGAAATAAAGTATATAATCAATGCAAAGCAGTAAAGTCTGCTCATAGGCTTTTCCCACCTTTACCTATTATTATTTTTTTCCTTTAAACCAAACACAGTCTAACGGAACCATCCTGTGCCCCTCAAGTCTATTGCAGCAATCAATGATGATGGTATAAGTTCAATCACTGGTTCGACCCCCATGGGAGACCGGATCTGTTCCTCACACCAACCTCACAGATACATCCCACCATGCATCTTCCGTACTTATCCATTATCATTCATGTGAGATCGGTGTGAAGAGCTGATCCCAATTTGGCCCATGGGAGAAAAAAAGTAATGGGATCTACTCTCACAAATAGGCGCCTTACAGGCATATCCACAGTGCATTGAGAACATCTCCCATTAATTATAACTAATAAGTGGGAGATGCTCCCAATGCATGATAGGATGTGCGCGTGAGAAGCAGATCCCGTCTCAAAAAAAAAATGTCTTACTGCTGAATTGGCTTCTCTCCACAGAAGACCGGATCTGCTCCTCACACGCATATCCTACCGTCCATTGAGAATATCTCCCGTACTTATCAATTATTGTTCACGAGAGATATTCTCAATGAACGGTGGATGTACATGTCAGGAGCAGATCCCGTCTCAAGCTGTACTCGGTCAGGCTGCAGCACATCAGGAAAACCCTCGAAAAATTGTCCGATAAAAAGGAAGTTGAAATAACAAGTAAATGCCAAAAACTCCCGAGTCTGAACTCTGATTGTCGCAGAGAATGTGTGTGAGTGATATGGTTGAGTCGGTAGTCGGCGATGTAGAAGCAGAGGCTGCGGAGGATTTGGTGCTTATTGGCTCGTACGAGACGCCAATTCGACTTGTTCGTGACTCGGCGGAGGAGATACTGCTGCTGTGGGCAATTCAACAGCCCACCCTCTGCAAGCAGAATGCCTTCGTCCGCCAATCGTCACTGCTCCTCGATATCGAGGCATGTGGCCATCGCCTCACCATCTTTCAGTCTCCTTCCTCCATGGTATGATTCCGACTATTCCCTTCCTTTTCTACCTTCAATGTGTGCTTTTGCCGGCTCGCCATTCCAGCATTCCCTAACTTCCCTACAATTAGAAGACCAACCCAACAACAACTATAACTGGTATCGCTCTCTTCTCGGGGCGGATAAGAGGGCTTTCTTCTACCTCGGGCTATAGTGCTCGGGCACTGCTCACAGAGACGGTAAGTAGGCAATCGATTAAGTAGTAAGGCAGAAGTTAAGATGTTCTTTAAAAAAGAGGACGATACAATTTATAGACTCCAATTCTTCGACCGTTTCTACTAACAAACAAAAGCTAGAACCTAATCATAGGCCGTCAAATCGCAAGTTCGCAACCGATAGCAGAAAATATTCGGTTGGTTATTTAGTTGTAAAACAGGGGAGGTTGTTACGATTCTCTCATGGCGGCAAGGTTCACCCTCGTCTGGCTGCCAGCTCGCAAGGGGGTGCCTGAATCAGCGATGTCGTCAGCTTCCACGTCAGGCAGCCGTATCAATTACAACTATAGGAGGTGAAAACTGCAACAGTCCATGTGACTAAGAACCCTATTTTCGAAGTTGGAAATACAAAAGAAACTATACGGGATCTCAAATCTTCTAGTGTCTAAGAATGGTCAAGACATCTAGTTAGCGGGTACGTGTGGGCTACTCGTGATACAGTCCTTTTGTAGTGTCGTCGCCTGCATGGTAATCTCCAGGAAATTGATGCTGATCTGATTAGGACAGTGGGCAAGTCTTCTCATCGAGGCACTTGAAAATTTGTACTAGGTTGATTTACCTTGGAATTAAAGTGCCATACAATTTTCCGAAACAGATGATTGATCTGCATTATGACATATTCCAATATTATAATTCGAATAGGGAAATCAGGAGGTGAAAGATAATTTGGATGGATATTTCTGTTCTAATTTTTTTAGTTTTAAATTGCAGAGCACACCTGGAGTAACTGGAGCAGTAATGTGGGACAGTGGAGTTGTTTTGGGGAAGTTCCTAGAGCATGCAGTGGACTCGGGGAGGCTTGTTCTTCAGGGCAAAAAGGTGGTCGAATTGGGCTCAGGCTGTGGATTAGTTGGGTAAAATTGATTACAAATTCTATAGAAACACAGCAAAGAAGTCAATTAATTTATTGTGCATTTAATATAATTTGTTAATCAACAACTTAATGGGTGGCAACCTCTTACATGGAGCCAGGCATGAAAATAATACCAAATAGGCTGCCATTTGAGAGAAGGTCCACCAATCAGTCAGTCCAAGTCACTGATTTGATTGAACAAAGTGCTTTTAGGTTTTATTATCAGGTTCTTCCATTGCCTTGGAACTTTACATTAGTACTTGGGTTTTCGGTTGCCTGCAGTAGATGTACAATTTTTATTCCTGTTTGCAGTTGCATTGCAGCTATGCTGGGCGGTCAAGTTACTCTTACTGATCTGCCTGATCGGCTGAGGCTTCTAAGGAAGAATGTTGAAGCTAATGTAATAGACAGGGATGTACGAGGATCTGCAACAGTAAGTGAGCTCATATGGGGGGATGACCCTGATTCTGAATTAATTGAGCCTCTGCCTGATTATGGTAATTAGCTTCTCTCTCTGGATTTCCTGACAAGTTATAAAGTGTTCGGTGCTTCCAGGGTCTTGCTTTTTTATTTGTTTTAGTTCGTTAATTTACTTCTAACTCTTTCAAATTCTATATATAGTGATGGTGGTTGAGTTACATGAATTTTACCTTGTTCAATCTGGTAGTGTCTCATTCTTACAATTGAACTATGGTGTATTTTAAATTAAATAGGGTTTAGTCATCTGATATGTGGAAATGCCCCAAATAAAGGCTTCAAGATGACTGATTTCTGGGTTTTGCAATCATGTTCAAAAGTCAAGTCAACAGATTGACCAATCACCGGTGGACCCCATTAGTATTTATAGTAATTCTTGTAATTTCTATTTAAAGTAATCATCCATTACTATTTATAGTAAATGCGACTTACTATTTTTAGTAATTTTGGATTTCTTATATTTAGTAGAACTAGAGAGTTATAGTGTCTATGTTTGAAAAGGAAGTTTCTACTTTTTTTGAAGTCCGAATACAAATAGGAATTAGAATCCAAGTATGAGTTGGAAATTGCAATTTTGGGTCAATAAAAGAGTGGCAACAGGTCTTGTAGAGAATACAACATTTCATTCTATTGTTTTTCCCCACTAAGGACTGAATAAAGAATTCTTTTTCTGTTTCTACCATAGCTAGTTGCTATAGTAGAAGCTATTTAGCTAGTTGCTATGGTTCTAACCTTTTGGCATTTTTTGCACAAAGTGGCTGCTCTCAGACTTGAACTTGTGTTTTTTCATTTGTCAGCTAGAGATTTTACCATTACACCAAGTAATTGCCTCTATTAGAGCACTAGATTGATATTTTGGTAGATCCATGGCTGTGCAGGAAGATCAACATCAAATTGCACAAGAAACAGGGAACACATTGACTAGAGGGGATTTGGAGGTGATGCAACAGCATATTAAGCATGATGTGCAACAGAAATTTGCCAATCTCTATGCTAGATTGGAGCAGTTGGGGCTTTTAGGACCTTCCAATGTCAATGTTGAAGGTTAAAGGAACTAGCAATAACAAGGTATGTATCAAAGGGGTGGGGAAATAGGTGCCATCCATAGGAGTGCAACTTGGGTCATATTGGGTTGGGAATTTGTTAAAATTTCAATGGGCCTGACCCCTAACCTGAGCCCTATGGAATTGAGATTCTTTAAGTTGGGCAACCTGACTTGCAGCTCTAGTCAACCAGCTATAGAAACCTATCACCATCCCAGCTATAGAAACCTAGCCCTATTGGAAAACTCTTCCTTGAATGCATCTTTAATCTGGATTCCCAGGAATTTAAACTCTGTTGCAGATAAATTAGCCAAGTCTGGTGCTCATAGGGAAAACTTATATAGCAATAGTATAATGCCTTTGTAACCTGTGTGTGACTAGCCTTTTGTACATCATCTCATGTACTTGCCTTTCTCTCTTTTATAAAAGTTACTCTTTTATGAGGCATGCATTGCAAAAGGTGTATGAAGCATATGCCTCAGAGGCAACAATGCCTTTGGCATATGCATCAAGGCATTTTGGGGGCACCTCGAGGGGCATGTCTCCAGGTGTACACCTCCCCATGCCTTTTAAAACACTAATGCGGAGGCATGATGCAAGGTGTTCCACTACTTGAAGGCATGAGGTGCATAGTTCAAAATGTAAGAGGCATAAGCTTCCCGAATACAAGGAGGCTTAAGCCTCCTTAAGAGGAGGGGGATGAAGAGGAAGGAGGATCTCATCTTTCTCTCTTTCTCTTAATAAAGACATTTTATATTAAGAAG